ATCGCTTTAAATGATCAATATCATAATTATTTATCGCTACCTGCCACCTGCCACCTGCAAAACTCATTGATGGTTTTAATGCGGGGCAGAAGGGGGGAATTGAAGACATTGCAAATCTGAATTATTTTTTATCTATTCTTATCACCTGGAATTTGTTACTCTTAAACGGTGATATAACAAAGGAAGGTAATTAGTCACTTGATGCTCATTCCAAAAACACTAATCTAGCGAACCTTATGTGATTTGCCACAGCATAGATTGTTGGTTTTCATCACTGAACAGCAGATTTTCATGACTGCGGGGGGTCCACCTCACCTATTGTTCCACACAAAAATGTGTGTTATAAAAAAATCCTTGTAAACGCATTACTGACCAAGAAAAATACAAACAGAATATCACCAGTATACACAGTACTACTATCGACCTTATTTGATGAAAAAGTCCCTGTGGGAATAAAATAGCTTTCAGTGATCATTGCTGGTCATCTCAGTATTGTGTGTGTACGTACCATTAGCTAGGCAGTTACATAACACAAATGAGAAACGCGTGGAGCTAACTGATGTAAAAATATTTACAAATCAACAAGTGAACAGTTGTAAAACGAGCTCACGGTGATTGGGAAAAAATCAGTGAGCAAAACAATTAAATGAGATATGACAGTCGGATGTTATTAATTGAACGGGTGTAATTTACAGTGAACCCACTGTTTGTCCATCCTGAACTGTTCTCGAGGTAGCATCCAGAGCGCGTTTATGTTGATTGACTGACGCAGCTCATCGATCGATCGATCCATCGATTTAAAAATCGGTTGTGCAAATGCGGCCAAGCTAATCACATGACAAAACCAGTTTAGCTAACGGTATACTTGTTTGAACAGTGCTCGCAGAGTACGTGCCGACTCTTCGTTGACCCAGTCATGATATCCAAATTACATTTCTTCGATGTTCTGACAAGGAACGAACAATCGCACCGAATAGGGGACATTTGTAACACAGTCGGACGATCTAATATTCGATGTAAAATGTACTAGTGATTCTGGTGGAGTAAAATTCAGAGGCATGGAAAAAACTTATTGTTACGTGGTTGATTCATAACGTGACTTTTGAAACACTCGCTGGGACAGTACTCAACGGGTTTTGACTAAGCCTGCGCAGATGAAGACTGAGGTCGTCCGAACTGCATTTAAATGGATGAAACGCGATAATCAATTTGCAAAATTTTATCAATGCTAGACGAGTAGTTGTGGGCGAGTTTTATTAGATTAACACTTTATTTTTATTATGAAATATGCCATTCCGACAGAATAGTAAATCCATTAGTCTATTGATGTAAGAGATGGGATCAATTCGCTCGTATAATCGAAGTCATGTGCCTGTGTATGGTGAGTGAAGTTAAGCAAGATGTGATACATTTGCGGAGACTTACGGGGCGTTACGATTCGAACTAACGAAACACAGGGGAGAGAGCGAGAGACAGGTGTTTCGATCGCTCCTGTGTGGTGTGTACAGATCGATTGCTATGGTGAAGGGGATAACAGCTGTTTCTAATGCCAAAGGCAAGCACAAACATAGCGACAGATATGTGTACACATGCGTACGCGCGCTTGCACACGCACACACACATAGCATACAAATGTAGCGAGCGGTTCGCAGAAGAGAGCCCTATTTTTGCATGATGACTGGGATTCCCTGGATAAATTAACCGACTCGTTCTGGGAGCTGGGCTAGATCATATCCGTCTAAATACTCACGGTTGTCGAACCTACGGCGAATAAATTTACTTATTACGACTCTAAATTGAAAAAACGCAATCATTTGACATCCGTATCAAGTAGGTCGTCCGGTAAGCTACTTCTTAGATTGTAGTGTGACAAGCACGACGGGGAGGGATGGGACGTTGGCGCGAATGAACCAGAAGCATTAATGTGCACATAGTAAAAGCTCTACTTTGCGTTTTGGTCATCAGTGTAATCATCGATCGATGTATATCTGTCACGTGATTTGAGGGATCAGCTGATTTGGGAAGAGGTGAAGATCGAGATTGTGGTTGAATTTCATGGATATCACGGCAACTGAAAACAGGAATTGATCTATTACCGGGGGCAACTTGATTGGTACAAGATGTCGAATACCCATAAGGAAATAATGTGAAATGTACTCAAAACGGATTTGTAATTTTATACTTTATGAAGGGACACAGTGCAGTATAACTCATTTGCGTGTAAATAAATCGCGTGGAATAAATCACAGGAAAACCACATATGGGAAATCTGCTCATATACTGTTTCATTTACAACATACAAATTTTAGCCGAACCCCAACACCCATCGGTATTTTCTTACCTGGGCTTGGAAAAATATTTTCCGTTAATTTGAAGTATTTGCGTGAAATCACGATAATTAAATTTGAAAGATCAATAAGGACATATATCACGGTGAAATCGGTCTCACACCAGTATTACATTTGGCAAGTTCCAGTCATGAAAAAAATATCCACAATATATGCATATGTAACATATGCACTCAATAGATGTACAAGTACATTTTCGCCCTGGACGTATACTTATCTATAAAAATCTGTTGTGCGAACAAACTTTTCTTACCTTTTATCCGATTTGTTGTTAATATTTCCAAAAATGGATATTTAGGTTGAGTTTGTCGGAAGATTTTTCAAACAGCTGATTGACCAACTTCAGCATTCAATCATGGTATCAATTTATACATGGCTTACTCAAAAGGATCGTGTCCGAACCCCCCCCACCCTTCAGCGATACAAAATATACATTTTTGGAGATATGTGTGTGCTTGAACAAACCAGTTTCAACATAAAACCAATTTTTATGAACCCATTACCAGGATTCAATCTGACTTTACCAGTATCTGTACGGAATGAATTCATCCAAAAAAAACAACCGAACGTAGAAACATTGTACCCACAGGAGGGTAACGAACAATGCACTACTGCTGTGTTCTGTAACTGACGGGTAGGGAAGAAGCAAGCAACAGCAATCCTATGTGCGAAGTTTGCTAACGTTATTCATGACGTGCGAGACTTGTGTGTGTGTGTGTGTGTGTGTATGTATGGCAACCTGCGAGGTCGAATCAGTAACCGGCAGAGAACAAACGCTACTATCAAGCAGAAGAGTGCCTCTAGAACATCTCCTTATTCAATTTTTGGTACCTCACTATGCTTACCTGGACTCCCTATTGAACACAGTAAATTGAATTCGTGGCTTGTTACCCCTTTCACTGTTACACCTGAGAATGATACGTGATAGATAAGACGCAACACAGTTATCAGTAACTTGAACCTGGGATTTTCGAATGGTGTACTGGATTTGGTCCGAGTCGGATAGTGAGTAGAACGGTAGTATAGATGCGCGAATCCGTGAGAACCAATCATAGTGAGTCAACCACCACCACCAACAACAAGAACAACAATACTACCACCACCACCCACGGTCGTTTGCCTGATTCAACATTTATTGTTTTCTACTTCAGCATTTATACAATAATGTTAGGCATGAAAAACATCGGAATCCTGTTGTTCTGAAGGACTTAATTCTCCCTCAATTCTTTTTGGAAGACCCAGTCGGTGAACCAATCCAGACAGGGAGTTCCTTGTATGATAGAAACAATAATAATTAAACACGATCCAAAAGGAATGAAATAATTGAATGATAAAAGAAAAGTCAAGGAGGGGGGGGCAAGTCTTTCCACAAGGATACTTTTGAAAAAGAAACCAAGACAATAACATTACACGAAAAATATCGGGATGAACTAAGTTGCCTACTACTACTACTACTACTACTATTACTATTACTACTACTACTACTATTACTGCTACTACTACTATTACTACTACTACTACTACTACTATTACTACTACTATTACTATTA